CAATGTTGAGCTTTGGGAACCAGTCAGACTGAGAGTTGAAGTGCCATAAGAATTGAATAGCAAAATCAATCAATAAAATAGAGATTAACTACCCCATTAATGAAGATGAAGATATCTAGTATGTGGATACGTGTATTCTAGCAGTTCAGAGATAATGACCCTTGGTGTCATGTGAATTAATGGTGGCGTAGAAATCTTATGAGGGAAGGAATGAACAACTTACAGGATGTGATCTTGAAGTTCATCAGAAGGGTGATGGTCAAAGAGAATTGGATTGGAAAAAGCAGACACCTGAGAAATAATGCTGCCGATGGTCATATCTCCAGGCTGAGAGTAGTTGTGAAAAAAGGGAAGAGGATGAAAAACATTACAATTAACATCAGGAACCTTGCAGACTGCTTGAGGCAATGATACTAGTAACGACACAAGTAATGCCACTAGGATGCATAAATATTTTTGCCCTGTGTGCCAGTTGGCCATTCTGCATTTTCATTTGGCTGCTTTGAAGCAGCACAGCTTAATAAGGTTTTCTCAACTGTTTTAAAAGCAGAACTCGACAGTTTGATACATCAATAATCAAAATGACAAGTTGTTTGCCTATTTGCCTTCTCCCATTATCATCAGAAAGTGGAATTCTAGTTTGACAAGATGTTGCTCAAAGGGTCTAGAAATTATCTGTAGAATGCAGACAACCCAGTTGGATGGGGAATAATTGAGGAAATAATTCTACAGCCAGAGTGTGAGCATGCGTGGATAGCATGTCCTGGTGAAATCATTCAGCTCTGTTAAGGCAGGTTGTTATTGCCCATTTAACAGTGATCCAGCTGGCAAAGAACTTGGATTGTCATGGGGAAAAGTAATACCAACTTACCACATTGGTTCGTGGGTCCCATGGGATTTGGGACAGATGCATGGATAATCATAGTTAATTTAACAATTATAGAGAGATAACAATAAGCCCAACTTTTTCCAACTTTCCAAATATTTAATATAGTTGTCATTAAAGCTTCTCACATCAAGAAGCAATGATTCATATCAAGCTAATATAAAAACTATTTTTTAAAAAATGTCAGGCATGAATATAGAGAGAACTATTTGAGACATCTTGATAATTTGTAAAAGAGACATTGAGAATTTTTCTTTTCTGACATGTTAAAAAGAAAATATGGCTATTATTAACTAAAACATATTTATTTAACTCTGTTAACATAACAAATAACCTTGAAAAAAAGTTAAAAATAAAAGTACACTAAAACTTAAATGGAAAGGACTCTTCAAAAAGAGTGATTTTCTATCCCTTAACAAATCTTTGTTAAATGCACATTAAAAATTTTTGTCTTTATACCATTTTTATGACCACATCAATTATACAAAGATGGATAATTCTAACAAAAATCTTTCAGTGGCAAATCCTTTATTTATTGGATGGTGGATCACTGGTGTTGGATTTGATTTTTTTTTTTTTTAAAGAAAAGTCCATTATCAATGATTCACATCAAGCTAAAATAAAAATAATTTTTTAAAAATGTTAGGCACAAATAGAGAGAGAACCATTTGAGACATACTGATAATTTGTAAAAGAGACATTTAGAATTTTTCATTTCTGCCATGTTCAAGAAGAAAAGTTACTAAATTACCTAAATTAACTAACTAAAAAATCCTTATTTCACCCTATTAACATAACAAATAACCTTAGGAAAATGTTAAAAATAAAAATACATGAAAACCTAACTGGAACAGACTCTTTAGGAACAACAATTGTCTGTCCCTTAACAAATCTTAGTCAAATGCAAATTTAAATCGTTTGTGTTTATAAAATCTGTATGACCACATAAATTACATATACATGCATCATTCTTCCAAAAAAAAACAAAAACCTTTAACTGGAAAATCCTTTATTTAATGGATGGTGGATAAATGATTTTGGAGTTGATTTTTTTTTTTTTAAACAAAAAGTCCACTTCATCTGAAATCTATTAAGCCATTGTTCCCTCACATACAAGCTTTAGTTCATTCATATCTAAAAGAACATATGTGTAACTTGCTTAAGTAATTTGAATGCAGTCGGAATGAGTTACTTAAGAAATGGTTATGTGAAATGATGACAAAAGGGTCAGGAATGAATAATTATGGACAGAACTCCAAAGTGATTGAGCACAATTGAAGAAGGACTTTGAGATTCTTTAGTTATACAGAGCATGAAGCAGGCCAAATTGCAAAACAATTATGTTTGGGAGGAGTAAAAGGGTCAAGAAGAAAGGAAAGATGAAGCTGAAGAAGTTTTCAATATGAGAGAGGAGAGAAGTTTGAAGGACAAAAGGCAATTTATGAAACAGTGTATGGATGTGGTAAAAGCAGCACTGCTTTGCTATGTTGGAAAGGCATGGAAAGACATAGTGAATTGTGTTATTTTAAAGTCTTTTCTCTTACACTATTTCCATGAAAGATACCCCTTCCTTATAGTTCTCCTGTTTTCTGATCAGTTTTAAGATTTTTTTAAAAAAAGTGTTTTTACCTTCTTGAGTACACCGTTAACTGTCCTAGCTGAACATCATCCACAAGCTTTTGAAAAGCAGCTATTAAACAAGATTGTGTTTACTAAGGTGCAGATCAGAAGAGCCATTATTGACCAAACATATATACTTTAATAAAGATGTCTGGTGTTTTGTAACTGTCAGTTTCCAGCATCTCTGTAAGATGTCATCTCCAGGGTTGGAGTCAGGAGATTTCAAAGTGGATCCATTCACATTCTTTTATGAAGTAAGGCACTATTTCCAGACATGCAATTGGATCTGATCAGATACAGGATGAACTTCAAAGAGAGGTTTCAACCTCTCCTAAAGCCCACCAGGGACAAAGAACAAGCCAATAACATCTGTGGATCATTGTGTTAGACCCAAGAGCTACCTCTGTACCGTATGTTAAAATTTTTCTTCCACTCTTTGAGCAGGTAAGGAAGATACTCAAAGATACTGATAAAATTTTCATACATTTTGGAGGAGAGTCCTTGTCCAATTCTGGAATCCAAAGAAAAAGTGATGTGAAACCCTCTCTCCCCAAGGCACTACCTCATTAGATGGTTGACTGATAATGCAGGAAAAAAAGAAATTTATGTAGACAGGGCTGTGAAAAGATTCACTCACTTATGATTCAAAGATCAAATGAAAAGGAACATTGTCTAACACTTACAAAGTCCTGTCAACTCATCCTGTTCATGATGGGTACCTTCATTGAGCTTTTTATTGAATTGAATAAATGGAATCCAGTTGAAGCCCTTGGAAATGTTACCCCACATTGAACGAATTGCGGAAGATGGCACCCAAAGAAACTACTGGGTCCAGCAATTGGTTTTCAGAGCCTTCTCTATCTGCAGAGGAGGAGGAATAACTAAATATTGATGCATTGGTCCCATGTCTTGGCTACACTGAATTTTGGATTTTTCCAGCCTCTGACCTTTTGGCAGCTGGAGCTTTCCTTAATCCAGATCCATAGCATTTAGGACATCTTTTTTCCATAATTCTTCCCTCCCCAAAAACTGTGATGGTTTGTAGATTTATTGGAAGTAGGAAAACAATAGGACATTAATGCGTAATGCGGAGAGATTCTAATGATGCACACATAGGACTTCTTTAAGACAGCACAAGAATTAAATTCTGATTTCTCACATTTAGGGTTTGAGGTTAGAGATGGGGGAAAAAAATAAAACAATGCTATCTTCCTGTCCCATCCAAATTGTACAACAAATCCTTGAGATTCCATCCTTACCCAAGCAGTTCTGGATTAATGGAATTAGACTGTCAATTCTCTTGCCTAAATAAGCAGCTTTATTGCAGGCAGAATCAAACCGTACAGGAGTGATGATCTTTACAATGCAGTACATAATACTAAAATCCTTATATAGATGCATGCTTCACATTTCAGCTTTTTCCTCCAACATTCCTCACCCAAGAGAGATTAGAAAACATTTGAGGGGCTTTTGAGGCACTGGATCTATGAAGTCATATTAGTACTACCTTCCAGCTGCCTTAAATGGCTCCATTCCTTAAAATATTGAAAGAAAATTGAATATATCACACAGCATGAATTCAAAAATTCACATTATTCACAGAGATAAGAAATAGAATAGAATTCATCAAAATGTGAGATGCACTTTGATTTGTCTTGATGAAATACTTTGTGCCATGATGAGAGTGTGATGGACTTTGAGGATGTGTTTCATGATTTCTCCTTTCTTCTCACCCTACTTCCATTTCCACTGGCATTTGTATTTCTCCTTGGTAGCAGTAATTAAGATACTACTTCTTCATGAGCAAATGCCATGAAGTCAAGAGAAAGAGTCTGGCCCCTCCCTAAGGGCATGATGGTTATAGTTTCTGTCATTGGGGGGATTAGGGTTAGGGTTAGGCATGATTCTGTCTATTAGGTGCAAGCTAATAAATAATAAAGAAGCTGAACTGATTTCTGGACAGTCTCGTTGTGATTCCTGAGCTGAACCTGACATCAGGAGTCTCTTTCTCTTGACTTTGACACAGTCCAGCTGGGGGCTGAGGAGATGTTTTCCTTGGAATGTCTCCCCCCCGCCGCTCCCTGTAACCTTGAAGCTCCATTCAAGAATCCTCCCCACTCATGCCTTCCATCACAAAAGGGTAGTCACACCAAATATTGACATGATTTAGATTTTTTTTCTGTTCATTCACTTTGCATTTTCTAAATTGATAAACATAAACAATTATATATTTTTGAAAGCATTCTTACTTTACAGCATTTTTTCACACCTGCCTAAAACTGTATATTCAGTACTGTATTGAAAAATTCACATTATTCACAGAGATAAAAAATATAATAGAATTCATGAAAATGTGATAAGCATTTGAATTGGCCTTGATGAAATTGTTTGTGCCATGATAACAGGGTGATGGACTTTGAGGAGGTGTTTCATGATATCTCCTTTCCTCTCATCCCACTTCCATTTCCACTGGCATTTGCAGTGATTAAGGATTTCAATATTGCTTCTTCATGAGCAAATGCTTGCTGTTCAGTTCAGGTCTAAGCAGGATGATAAAGCATTTGGGGGCAAAGATACAACCCAATAAGCCAGCACCGGAGGATAAGATGGAGAAGATCTCCACAGCCACCATATATTTTCCTTTGGTACTCAAGTAGCTGGGAACAAAGGACAACCAAACATTGCAGAAGACAAACATGCTGAAGGTGATGAATTTGGCTTCATTGAAACTGTCAGGGAGTTTCCGAGCTAGAAAAGCAGCAGAGAAGCTGACAATGGCCAAGAAGCCCATAAAGCCCAAGACAGAGAAAAACATGGTCACCGATCCTTCATTGCATTCTAGTACAATCTCTTGAGACATTGAGTGCTTATCAAAGTCTGGGTATGGTGGGAATGTCATTAGCCATGAGGCACAAATGGTGGCTTGAACCAGAGAGCAGGAAAGAACGATGGAGCTCACCATTCTTTTCCCCACCCATCTCCTCATTTTAGACCCAGGCATGGTGGCCATGAACGCTAGGACCACCACAATGGTTTTGGCCAACAACCCGGAAACCGCCACTGAGAAGATCATGCCAAGGGCTGGTTGTCGAAGAAGACACACAACTTGATTGGGTCTCCCAATAAATAGCAAAACAGAAAGGAAAGAGAGCAGGAGGGAGGTGAGGATAATGTAGGTGAGGTTCCTGTTGTTGGCTTTGACGATGGGAGTGTCCCTGTGTTGAATGAAGGTCTTGAGCACTAAAATTGTGATCAAAGAACAAGAAAGAGCACAAATAGCCGAGCTCATCCCCAGTGGTTCTTCATATGATAAGAAAGTTATAACTTTGTGGAGGCATGAATCTTTGTTGTCATTTGGGTATTGATCTTCAGGACATGAAGAACAGCCCTGTGTATCTAAAAGCAATCACCAAAGTTCTGTTTATATTGTGTTACACTAATCAACACATACCTGCTATTATAGAACATGGCCATGAGGGGCTCAGCCTGACATATTGAAATAAAAATGAGATCAAAGGAACAAATCAGTTAACATGAATGAATTTTATTTTGCCAGAGACAATTCCCACAGTACATGGAATTGAAGGGTCAAACTATGACCCACTTCATATCATCCGGAAGGGAAAAAAAAATCCATGATACTTTATCCCATCATCCCAATGTGTGCCCCTGTGACAGCAGTAAATTAATTACTTCAGGATTGTTGAACAGGACCAGAGTATTAGAAAGCTCTGGTGCAGAAGCCTTACAATTAAGCACAGGTGCACACACAGGTGCTGTGTTTGGCCTGATACCCAGTCTGAGGTAGCAGTTAAAGTAGGAATTTGGAGACTATGAGTTCAGACTGATTAGTATGACCTGAATTGTAATACTAAATGGCATTTATATGAAGACTTATTCCAGTCTGAATAGAAAAATGTAAGCCTTGAGATTTCAGTATTCTCTTTTTGGATATCATCTACTGACAGCCTTTCAAGGTAGATCAGACAAGGAAACCAATCCCATGAAGGTCAGTGCTACTTTTCTTCTAAAGCTCTAGTAAGAGAATCTTTCAAGCCTGAATGCACTTCCCCTCTCCCTCTCTCCATCTTTGTGAGCTAGGAAGAGACCGGTCTAAGATATTTACTCAAGTTAATTTCTGGCATCTGACTCAGGCCCCTTTTATCTGACCATTGTCTTGGTAGCAGCTCTTCCTCCTGTCCCTCAAGACCTCTCCCTATGCCCTCTACCCCTGATAAGACCTTTTCCTACACCCCTCCCCCCATGTTTATATCTGAATTCAGAATATCTTTATTAACTCATATTACTTTTGTCTTGTGAATACCTTCACAATTGAAGAGATTACGTATCGAGGCACACATCTGTTCACAAGCTAATTCACTCCCATTACCTTTTTTTTCTTTTTTAAAAACCTCTGTACGTGGTACCTCTTACCCTCTTCAGTTGAAATCTTCCCTTCTGGACATGGAAGGCAATCATAACAACAAAATGGCTTCCCTTCCTTCTTGGTCTTCCTATACCCTCTAGGGCAATGATTATTACACAAAGAAATGGGGTGTGCCTATTCCAGAAGGAACAAGAATAAAGACAGAGAGAGATATAACAGACTTCACCTTTACTTAATGCTGAAAATCATCAGTTTAGTATAGATGAATTACAAAAGCTTGCAATGCTTATTAGTTTAATAACCAAAACAAAATGGCAATAGACTGTTGGAATCTGCAGTATTCTTGGTATCTTTTATTCATATAAAATAAATTTGGGTCAAATGTTATATGTTTGCCACTGATGTCTTGACAATATGTCTCCCTGTATAGCTTATTGAAAGTATCTTGCAGCCTCTCCATAACAAATTTACTACAATAAATAAAAGTGTCAAACTTCCTGTGAAACATTTCTAGGACAGGGCATTGCAATATTCAATATCCAAGCAGATTAATTAGGTAAATAAGGTTAGTGTTTCAGATTAGTGGAAAACAACAGCACAGTTTTATATGCATCAACATGTAGTTCTGTATATATATATAGCAAGATCTGGCCATCGTGGCCAGGGCACAACAGGCGTTATGCATGCAACCTAGAATTACTGGAAGATGATGCATTATAGAAAAAGGACATCAGATTGTAGTTTTATTTCAAAATTATGGCTAGAATGGCCCTTCCCTTATCTGAGGGAAGGTAGAGGATCAAATATGAAGATCTATTTTTATTTATTTATTTTCAGATTACAAAGATTACAGATTACTGAGAAAGATCTACTTAGAGATAACCATTACATGATTGTGGAACTTTGCTTCTGTCTTTCTGCAACTACAAATCAAAGGTTCATTGCTTAATCTCTAGGGTTGTGTTTTTAAGCAGACAGATTAGCAAGTAGTAGGCTGAGAGAACACAATAAGCCAAATTTGAGCCTATTTGCTTCTTGAAAGAGGATATAAATACATCAGAAATAGTTGAATGCAACTCAGAAATGAAACTAAGAAACTATTTTCAACAAGATTGGATGTTTTTTGTGTTGCTTAACTGAATCAAGACAAAAGCATATGTCTCTAACCTGATTAAAGCTTTTTGGCCATATGATAGACCCAAGATGAATATTGAAGGCTTTGTCTGGAGGAGCAAAGGGGTCTATCTTTCCTACTTTCACCTTACAAAATGATTGGTTTGGAAAAGTGATCCAGTTTATAACATCAAATCCTCCAATAAATTCTCCATTTTTGTCAAAGGAGATCTTTTCACCCACACTATTGTTGAAGGAGACACTTCTCAAAAAAGGGTGCAGCTAAATTGGAGAGAGGCACAAAGAGAGAAATCATAAAGGATGGGTGAAATCATTCTATCTATTTATTTAATTTTATAAGCCACCTGACTCTGCATGACTCTGGGTGGCTAAGGGTATGAAATAAAAGACAATAAAAACAGAAAGAATAATCGTGAAAAAAAAAATCCTGAACATCTGGAAGGACAAACACAGCAGTCAAAGAACACCTCCCACCCCAAAAAAACCACAGGATCAACAATCATTACACCCCTTCCATACATACAACATATTGCGCAGAATGGTAAATATAACCACTTATAGTACGGCTTTTAATGGGTCATGAATGCTTACAAATATTGCAAATCAGCAAATATACAAAGAGGGGAGAGTCAGAAATAAATAGTTTTTCTTTTTTTTATCCTTATTCTTATTACTTTATTTTTCCCCCTACTTTTTAGGTATGTTTGTTTCATTCATCTCTTATTTCCTTTTCTCAATATATAAACACACACACACATATACACACTAAGTAACAATACAATGGAGATCTTAATATTAAGTAATTAGTTGAAGACTGAAACTATTATTATATAACTAATACTTTGATGTGAATTGCAGTGGTTCTTTTTTAGTATTATACTCAACTTTGGATGAAAAGTCAAATTATGTCTTCAATATTGATATCCTAAACTACAGATTTAGTTCTGAATTTCATTGACAGAGAACCAGAGGAATTATAGAATGAACTTAAAGTAGCTGTTAAGGATGAATGTGAAAAGAGACTGCCAGAAATGAAGAGAAGAAGGCAAAGTGGATGTCAGAACAAATTATGGAAATTGCCAAGAAGAGAAGAGAAGCCAAAGTAAAGAAAGACAAAATTTGCAGAACAGAACTTAAAGAGTTTCAGAGACCTGTTAGAAGAGAGAAAAAGCAGTATTACAACATCTGTAAAGACACTGAAGATGGAAACAGACATGGTAAAAAAAGTAAAGTCTTTCAAAAGATTTCTGAATTCAGAAGGAGGTTTCAACCTCAAATTGGTATGCCAGAGGACACCAATGGACAGATAGTAACTGATTCAAAGGAGATCAAAGGAAGATGGAAGGAGTATATGACAGTATACACAGTAGAGATTTCAACATCCAAGATACCTTAGAAGATATTCCTTACTTACAATAACCTAAATTTAGAAGATGAAGTTAGATCAACACTCTGGTCATTACCAAGTTGGAATACCCACTGAATACCCACTGAAATATGGCAAGCTACAGAAGAAGAATCCATCATGGTTCTAACCAAGCTATGTCAGCAAATCTGGAGAATGATACAGTGACCAACAGATTGGAGGGAAGTCAATCTATGTGCTAGTACCAAAGAAAGCAGACTTTACAGAGTGTACAAACTATCATAACATATCCTTAATTTTCCATACTAGCATCTCACCCCATGCATATTTGAACCCTACATGGAAAAAGAGATGCCAGATGTTTAAGCTGGCTTTAGAAAAGTCTGAAATATTATTGCCAATACACATTGGATAATTCAGAAAGCCAAAAAATACCAAAAGTGAGTCAGTATGGGCTTCACTGATTATACAAATGCCTTCAGTTGTGTCAATCATGTCAAGCTGTTGAATGTGCTCATAAAATGGAAAGCCCAGAACATCTCGTTGTCCTTATATAAAACTAATATACAGATCAGGAAGCCACAGTATAGACTGAACATGGTGAAATGAACAAGCTCCAGGCTGGCAATAGAATGGGATAAGGCTGTATAGTGTCCCCTTATTTATTCAACCTATATGTGGAATATATATTAAGGGAAGCTGGATTGGAAGAAGATGAGTGTGATTTTAAAATTAGAGGAAGAAACATCAATAACCTGTGATATGCTAATGACCCCACCCTGATAGCAGAAAATGCAAAGGATCTGCAAGCCCTAGTACTAAAAGTCAAAGAGCACAGTGAAAAAAAATGCGACTAAACTATGAAGAAGACCAAACTAATGACAACAGGTACAATAACCAGCCTTAGAATTGATAATGAAGATATAGAAGTGGTGGATATCTTCTGTACTTTAGGATCACCATCAAGACTAGAGGAACAAGCAATCAAGAAATATGCCACAGACGCAGTAGAGCAGCCATGAAGGCCTTGGAAAAGATATTCAGATGGCATGATGTGTCTGTGCCTACAGAGATCAGAATCATGGTATTCCCTGTGGCACTCTATGGAAGCAAAAGAAGCAGGATAGGAAGAGTATTGATGCCTTTGAACTTTGGTCTTGGAGAAGACTCCTAAAAATAACATGGCAGCCAAGAAAACAAACTGATAGATCATCAAACAAGTCAATCCAGAGTCCTCACTTGAGGCACAAAGGACCAGGCTCAAATTATCCTACTTTGGACACATTATAAGAAGACTCATCTCTCTGAAAAAGGCTCTAATGCTGGGAAAGGTGGAAAGCAAGGGAAAAAGAGGACAACCAGCAGCAAGGTGGATGGACTCAGTTACAGTGGTGATGACTGCTCCATTGGGAGATTTGAAAGAACAGATTAGGGATAGATCATCATGGTGAAAATCTATCTAGGTGGTCTCTAGGATTTGAAAATGACTTGATGGCACATAATCAATCAAAACTACAATTAATATTGATAGCATTTTTTTTACTTGTCTCTTTTTACCTTCAATACGTCAAGCTTTCTAAATAATAGAATGTTCATAATTTTAATCATGTTGCATAAATATTACTACATTGAAAACTGCATTGAAATAATACAATATATTAAGATTTATAACATTACAATAAAAGGGAAAAAAATAACCATCCTACCCCAATGCTGGGAGCAAAGCCAGGTTTTCAATAACTTCCAGAATAGTGACCAGTCCTCTGGAGGGATTCTATTCCAGAGGGAAGGCGCTGCAGCAGAGAAGGTGCACTTCTTAGGTGCTGAGAAATTATGTTGTTTAACTGAAGGGGCCTGGACCAGGCCCACTCAGCCCTGATCTTACTGGGTGGGCAGAAACTATTGGAGATAGATGGTCCCTCAAATAACCAGGCCCTAAGCCATCTATAGGTGACAATCAGCACCTTGAATTGTTACTGGAAGCCAACTGGCAACTAGTGCAATGCAAAGCAGCGATGTGGTATGCCCATCACTGCCCACACCACCATATTCTGGACCAGCTATAGCTTCCAGGTGGGTTTCAACTGCAGCCCTATGTAGAACATGTGGTAGTTCTCCTGTCATGATATCCAATTACACAACTTGACCATGAATTTTTGAATTTTGAATTGAGGTCTGAAGGGCCAATACCAGTCCAAGAAAGGGCACAACTGGTGCATGAGACAAAGGCTCTCTTGGCAACAGCTCCCACCTGCTTTATGCTTTATATCCAGATTGTGGACAAGTCTTGAATGGGAAAATGCAACCCCACTGGGAGTCAATCATAGAATATCTCCAGCTCCAGGGGGCCCAAACTGACATAGTCATTCGGTCTTGTCAGGACTTAGAAGAACACTTACTAAAAAAATTAACATTTACCAAAGGAACAAAAAAATTGGGTATGTGTAGAGAGCCAAGGAGATGACCTTGGAGAAACAAAGCATAGATGACAGTTGCAAACACATTCCTAAAGCCCAGGAACAGAGAAAGTGTGAGAAAAAAGCTGAGGCTGAGTCCTTCCTCATTTTCTAGAGTACAAGAGGGAAGGAGGGGAAAACTCAGTCAGGCTTCCAAGATTCTGTTTTTAAAGGAGATATAGTTCCATCCGGGATCCGGGAATCTGTTTCCTGAGCTGGCTTACCTTGAACAGCAAACACTATGTTAGGAAAAAGATAGAAGTTAGTTGAATACAAGGCAAATAATATCTTTTAAAAGGATGTATGGTAGGATTCTGAATGAATGAGCGCTGAATGAATGTGTATTAAATACCATGAGTGATCATGATCAAATAAATATTTCGAGATGGTTTACCTTATAGAGAGAATGAACAGGGACTGAATTGCAAAACAAATGCATGAAAGGAGTGGAACTGAAAGACTGAGGAAGTCATGATTGGATGGAGATGATCAGCTCCACAAAAAGAGAGAGGTGAGACATCTAGAACAGTCAACAGCAGTGCATGAAGACATGCATGTGGTGGAAGGAGTATAGTTTCCAAAAGTGAAAGTTTTAGGGAAGTATAGTGAATGGAGTTAGTGCAAACTAGAGTTAGCTGTATTTTCTTTTCTTTAAAAAAAATCTTTGATTTTCTCGTTTTTTTCTTTTTTCTTTTTTTATATTTTGCATTAAGAGTGTATGCCCAGAAATTGAACAGCATGATGGATATGAACTGTATTATATATGTATGCAGTATTGATATGAATATTTATGTATTGGTTTACTGTGTCCTTTACAATTGTACTATAAACACTGGAGGTCCTATCTATCATCTATCTATCCATCCACCCACCCATCTATTTTATAATGCCTCCCATCTACCAATGGAATTTTTTGGAGATTAAATATTCAAAAATTGACCATGTAAATGCTACAGCAACCATTTCCTTAGAAGAATTTTTCATGATTTTAAGTTAGAATTTACAACCATAGATACTATAAGTTTTCCTGAAGTTCTCTGTTTTAGACATTACCTGCCACGATTGTAGGTCCTGAAATGTATGTTTCCCCAAAGCCATCCAATTTCTTTGCTTAGATTTAGAGGAATGCATTGACTGCAAAGCATGTGCTACAGCATAGGCAGCATTGTACATATTGTAGCTGTCGCCAGTCATGCTAATTTCAAAAGTAGAAGTAGGAAGAGTCTCTAATTTCTCTTCTCCAGTACAAATGCTCTCAGATCCTTTATTCTTTTTCGAGTTGAGCAATGAGCAATCAAACACCTGCTCCCAAAAGTCTCTGATGAATCCATCCTGTGGTTCTATGGTTGGATTTCTGCTTTGAAGAAATTCCTGGAACCCAAACACCTCCTTGGACTGAACGGAGAGCGATAAAGCACCATGGATGAAACTTATATCCCAGTTTCTGTTAAAGGATACTGATGCAAAATCTATTTGTGCTGGCATGACCCAGATTTTGGTCCTCACTGGTACGTCTTCCACTTCTGAAAAACGGAGAAACGATTTTAAAAATGTCATAGTCTGAATTTCTCCATACACAAGTATTACATTGGCCGTGCTTTTCATGAGAACTTTGTATATTTCGAGTCCTTTATCCATCACTTCCATAAAGTCACTGTAAAAAGCCAAGATGGGGAAAGTTTCTATAAAATCAAAGCAGATTCCATGCTGAGAAAACATGGGGAGTACATCCCGTACAAACTTCTCTCCCGCATCATCTTTCATGGAAAGAACTCCAATCCACGTCCACCTAAAATTCGTCAGTATCTGGAGGATGCCTTGGTGTACCAGGGCCTCCTTTGGGAACATTTGTTGTAAAAATACACCTTGGATTTCTTTATTCACTACTGGAGCAGAGCCATAAGTGAGCTAGTGGAAATTAACAACAACAACAAAAACAAAAACAACAACTGTGTTTCTGTGTCCCTCCTTTGGTTTCAATAATGATACATTTACTGATTCTACTGTTTCTTCCTAAGTATCAGGCAAGCTCCAACCTGGGTTTCAAATGGTGATCTTTTAATAAGTATTTATATATCAGGGTTGAGATGGGGAACAGGCATGAGTTCAAGACTGATCTGAATGAAAGAGAGAGGAGCCCACAGATTACTAGGCTTGACCTCCCAGTCTTTTTCGCTTAAAGTAATTTAAGAAGCAATTTCAGCCAAGATTTATCAGACAGTTAAGTAGTTTCTGTTTCCTGCCTTCAAGCCTTATAAATAGTTTTGCATTCTTCTCCAGCAGTTCCTCCTCCTAACTGATAGCCTAACACTCTCTAATTAAAAAGTATCATTTTGTTCAGCTCTCTAATTTTTAGACTCAGAACAAATCTAAGTGAGCATCACTTACCCCATTATGATATGAGCTTAACTTATGTGTGTAATTAGCATATATGCACTCCTCTATATTACTAAATACAATTCCTACTATTCCAATCTAGATTTAGCAGCTGACTGGATTTACCGATGATCTCTGACAGGTATTTTTTGGTCTTCTTTCTTCCATCTATCCTATGACCCACCCTCTGTGTCATCTTTGTTGAACATATGGCTCTTTTGTTCTTTGGTGAGTCTTCCCCCATGTCTTACTCTCAAATAACTTTGTAGAGTATCCCCTGCTCAGGAATAGATGTGCCTTTGGATTTATAAGAGGCACCAATCTGTTTTGGGAACACCATTCACACTTTCTCTAGATTTAGAGAAAGGCCATGTTGAAAGCCACTAGAACTGTCTAAATCCACTGTCGCCATTTAACTACTAGTCATTGCCTTCATAATCAAGCTTCTTCTTCTCAGAATTGTCCCTGATGTTACTAGGCCAGCATGGGCATTTTAAGATTTCCCTTCTTTTGCCAACTTCATATCTGTTTCCTATGAATATCCAGAACTATTTCCTATGAGAATCTAAACTATCTCTTATTCCTAGCCTTGCTCAGCAAAGCGTAGAACAGAGATTTAGTTAGACAAAGCTAGCTTTGGGTGTCTGCACAGATGCAGGGATACATAAAAAGCTACTGAGATGTTGCAGCAGAGACTCATCACCAGGATGTTTCAGAATCATACTATTGATTATGAATATGAGAGTGTTACAGCATACATATTGATTGCAGCAGGCGTTAACATTATATGTGGGCCAAATGCAGTGAGGGTAACCCAGGTAGGAATCAACTGGACACTTGTTATTCTGACATCTTACAGATGCTCTAAATAGGACCTTTGGTGAAGGAACACTCATGATATCTTCTGCTGGCACTTAATCTAAATTCTTGGATAAGTCATTCTCTCTAAAACAAGTGTTTGGGGGAAGAAGGAGGAAAAATTAGCACCTTTCGTCTTGCAGATACTAAGGACATTTTAACCCATACAACTCCTAAATCGCCTTCCCCAAATGGTGCCCCTTCCTGTCACAGACAGGCAGACATAGTGGCCATCATATACTTTGGACTGATATTAATGAAACCTAGGAGAAAATAACAGTATCCATTTCTGAAAATGAATGATAATCGCTATTTTGTTTCAGAAATATGAAGCCATTTATAGATACTGTAGAAATCCTTTAAAACTTGTGCTTCAGAATGGAAGGATTTTTAAAGCCCTAATGCCTAGTAGCATATTAAAAGATTTCCCATGATCCTGTACTTCACCTTTCCCATTTCCCAAGCACACAAGGGCTTCCATAGAATCATGACAGAGTCTCATGTGAACTGAGAAATATATATATTCTATGAACCTTGGATTACCTGTGGAGTTTTGTAGAGGCACAAAATGCTTGCTATGTGGAGGCAGATGTCAGGTCCCCCAATTGCTGCTACAGGAATGTTCCCAAAGCCACATTTGTAGTTTGGGATGAATGTGTTGTGCATGGAGAGAAGTTCCATCGAGGCCAGGAAGGTCCTGCTTGGACTGAAATTGCTATTATAGATGTTGAACCCAAAAGTGAGGTTGGGTA